GACCTAGTGTGAGAAAATTCTTCTTCAGCTTTGTAGAGAGAGATATTGAGGAACCAAACAAGAGTAGACGTTACTGTTTGAACTCCAAGCAAGGTTTTGGGAATTTCTTTCCCAAAAGAGGATCTCTACACCACAAGGAGCAATGCTAGCATCTTCAAGATGGTTTTCCTTCTTCTCCCTTGTGTTTCCTCCTTGCCTAGCATGGAGTAGGGGTAAATGGCACATTTGATCACTGGGATTACTAAATTGTGTCATGTTTAATCACTAGAAAAATTTAATATCAATTTTGGTCACTCGAATTACCGAAACTGGTCACATTAAGTCACTCTCCCGTTAGTTTCCGTCCAACTCCATTAATGTAGTTAGACGGAAACTTTTGGGAGAGTGACTAAATGTGACATGTTTCAGTAATTCGAGTGACTAAATGTGAAATTTTTCAATAATTCGAGTGACCGGATTTGGACAGAGGCTACAAGAGAGTGACCAAATGTGACATGTTTCAGTAATTCGAGTGACTAAAATTGATATTAATTTTTTCTAGTGACTAAACATGACACGATTTAGTAATCTCAGTGATGAAATGTGGCATTTACCCCATGGAGTAGTTTCTCTTTTCACTTGGGTGTGTGTAAACCCTACTTATAATGATGTGAGGGTTTATATGGATTAAATGATTAGTGTGTGGGTGTGTTTTAATACAAAGTTAAGAGGTATTTTCATGAAGATTGATTGTGTTTGTGCATTTCAATGTCTTAGGCTATTTTAACCTAGGAAGAGGGGAATCTCCTTTGAGTAGAGGCTTCGTATCCTACTTAGGTTAAATTAGTTCAAACTTCTTCATTCGTATTAGCACCTGTAATTTTGTCGTCCGAACTTCGATTCGAGGTGAAGTCTAGGCAACCCTTGGTTGATAGGTCAAGAGAGCTACTTTGGCATTTGTTCACTAGTTGAACTTCCCAACGGTTTACAAACGCTTTTCCGACACCTATGAATTCGATCCGACAAGTCATTATTGTTAGCTAAGGGGAGCAACACCCGGGTGGAGCCTTCACAACTAGTGTCCAATCCATTTACTTTTCCAAACGTTTTAGCTATAGATCGTTGCTTTCACCAAAAACCAATTGCTAGATAATGTTTCAAACAATCGAAGTAGGGGTACATGGTCTGGCCCGGGTTGATATTGAAACATACTTACCCTATATTGCACTCGGTTAAGGTTTATACTTGGGCCTTAATTGTGCTTTTTGTTGTGATATTTGGGACGAGTCAAGTCTTTGGCGCCGTTACCGGGGAGCTTCTGGTACATTATTTCGAAAAGATTGTTTGGTGTTAATCTGGTTTTACTTTTGGATTTTGTGTGTGTGAATCTTGCTTGTGTTAGATGAGTTGTGGTTCTTTTGAGTGTGTGCAGGAGGGTGTATAACCTTGAGTAATCCGACACTTTTAGCACCACTAGACGAGAATCTCAACCGCACTCTCCGACTCTTGGCTCGTGAGAGGGAGCTGGTGGAAGCAAGAAGAAGGATAGAGGAGAGGGGACAACCACAAATTGAAGGAGTTTTAGTAGAGGAAGAATGTGAATCCTAAGAGGAAGGAAGTGAAGCCGAGATGGCGGCTAATAGAAAAGCTCAAGCGGGAGCTGTGAAGCAACCGAGGACTATGTGCTACTTCATGGCTCCACGGGGCGCCGGATATTCAACCTACCATTTTATATCCGCCCGTGGCCGCCAATAATTTCGAGATCACGCCTGGCCTCATCACAATGACACAAAACAATGTGCAATTCCAAAGGCTTAGAGATGAGTCTCCGAGGGAGCATGTTCAAAGGTTTATCAAGATTGTGGGAAGTTTGAAGACAAATGGGGTGCTCGAAGATTAATTGAAGTTGAGGCTATTCCCCTACTCTTTTGTGGGGAATGCGCTCAGGTGGATCAACAATACACCAGCTCTCTCGATTACGTCATGGGATGACTTGCTAAACAAGTTCATGACCCGATATTGCCCACCTTACAAGACGGCGGAGTGGCAGAAGAAGATCACCCATTTCGAACAAGGGGATGATGAGACATTGAGGGATGCATGGGAGAGGTATTCCGACTACTTCTTCGACTGCCCACATCATGGATTTGAAGAACATTTTTGGATTAAGACCTTCTATGGTGGTCTCCTCCAAGATGACAAGATCATCATTGAATCTCTTTTTCAAGGAAAATTAATGAACATGACTCCACCCAAGGTGACCCAAATGCTTGAAGATATGTCAACAAAAAAGTATGATTGGGGCTTGACAAGAAGTGGTAGAAGAGATACTGAGAGAGGAGTACGTTTGGTGGAAGCAGGTCCTCCATTTGCCGCTAAGATTGACCGTTTGATTGATGCTCTCCTTGAAAATAAGAAGCAAGGGAAGAAGCTGTTGATGGCGTGCAATTGGTGTTCGAGTACCAACCATGAGATTTTGGAGTGCCAATGACGAAGGAAGCAAGCACCCCCGAGGAATAAGTGAGCTTCATCCCTAATGCTAGGAACAACAATCCCTAGAGCAACACTTATAACCCGGGGTGGCGAAACCATCCAAATTTCTCATGGTCTTCCCCAAGTAATCCAAGACCCCCCCCCCTCCCGGTTTCCAAGGACCGACGGGGAATTATCAACCAAGGCTTCCCTTACAAGCTTTATAGGAAGTTTCATTTTGGGGCCCAAATGTACATATTTTACCCCACATTTCTTATCTGTTATGCTCAGTAGATCACCGTCCCTCGACCTATTTTACGCTAGGTTGTGCTTGTTTTGATACATTTCAGGTCCTAGCACGTGTGGAAGGGTCGAGAACGAGTTTCAGGATGATTAGAGGTTAAAAAGCGCAAAAAAAACCCCAAAGAAAAGTCCAAAGTCACAGTCTGGCATTGGAATTCACGTTCTCTAAGGCTGTGAACTGGAACCACAAACCGTGAACAACGAGGTGTCCAGGAGGGTTCCAAAAGTTACCGACGACCAGGCAGTTCAGTCTCTAAGGCCGTGAACTTTGAGTGCAAACCGTGAATCCTAGAGAGTGAAGCGCTGCGTCTTGGCGACGACACTAAGTTCAAAGACGCGTTTAGGCCGTGAACTGGGCGCGATCTGGAAATAAATTGGGAGCCGAAATCAAAAAAAGGGGAGAGCTGCTTTTTGGAGAAGGAACACTTTCTTTCTCTAGGGTTTCGACCCAAAACACCAAAGGGGAGTTCTAGAGAGTGAGAGAGTGATCTTGGACCTTAATTGAAGGCATTGATCAAGCTTGGAAGAAAGGAATCAAGCCTACAAGAAGAAGAAGAAGATCTAGAGGTTTCTTTGTAATCTCTCCTCTCTCTCTAGAAACTCACCCTCTTCTCTTGGTTTAAGAACCCTAGCTCTAGATTTGGGTTTAATGTTGATGTATGTGACACATTCCATGTTTGATTGATGATTCAACTTGATTGATGGATGTTTTCATGAATGACATGAGTTGGATTTCCATTTTCATTTCTTGAGCTTTTGACCCAGGAGGGAGATAATCCCCTTAGTGTCCCCTTCTGGTGACTTCGGGTCACTCCCATCATATATTCACTGGGTAGGCCCCGAGGGAGTTGACTCGATCCACCTCCTATCAATATACGATACCCTAAGTTGAATAGAGAACCTACCCATCTACCGATTCACCGTTCCTGTTCATTCGCGAAGGAGTCCATCTCCAAACGGTTGCGTATTTGAGTCGATTGGGCTATGAAGATACTCAACATCGATTCAAAGGTCGGAAATAGGGGGGATAACCCAAGAGAGCTCCCAAACCTTGTAAATAGCTAGGTTAGTGGTTAGTCTAGGTTACTTAGCTTAGTTTTATTAATCACTATCCTAGGTTGGGTAGATAACAAACAATAAACCTGGAGTAGGATAAGCCTAGATCCCCATGGTATGATAAATTGTTACTGCTTGCTTGTCTTATGCTACACCCGGTTGGCGGTTATACTTGGCCTTCGATTGGGATGTTGTAGTTAGAATGAGTCAAGAAAGTTTCATCTATGTGAGCTATAGACTACTAGGCTTAGTGTCACATTCGCCGATCGCTCTATCATTAGCCTAGAGGTATTGTGGAGGATCTCCTAGTGAGAGTTGGCAAATTCTACTATCCGACGGATTTGTTATCCTTGATATCAGTGAAGATGCATATATGTCACTCATTCTAGGATGCCCCTTCCTTTCCACCTCTAAGGCCTTAATCGATGTTAACGAGGGAACTCTGATTTTGAGAGATGGAGAGGAGCAACTTACTCTCTCAATTGATCCGAAGGATAAAAATGATGATGTGAAGGAAACAAACTCAAATGGTATGATTGGAAGTGGAGGCGAGCCTCTTGAGGCAAACCCCACTACTACTTGTGTTCCTTTTGGTGATGTGAAACATTAAATTGAGAAGAGTTTCAAATCTGAAGGAAGGAAAAAGAAAGCGTGGAGAGAAAAGATGAACCGCGTTTATACCCGAAAGAAGGATAAGGGTAAAGCGAAGGCAATTGGCCAAGAGGGCCAACCTTTGGAAGTGACAAATATCACCCCGTGACCATGGCGGATCCACTCTTGGAGGCTTCGTGCTCTCAAGCATGATAGATCTGCAACGTCAAGATAGTGATGTTAACTTAGCGCTTGCTGGGAGGCAACCCATCACCATGCCAGTATGTTGTGTCTGATTGATGGGATTTTGAGTGTGTTTGAATTTGGGGCATAGTTGATTAGGTCAAGTTTTGAAATTTTGGAAATGCCCTATTTTCAATCAGTTCATGGTTTTAGCCTCATTATCACGGTCTTAGAGACCATGATAATCGAATGGAGACCGTGAACAAGGGCAGTTTCAGAAATTTTTGAAACGCACCGTTTGCCCCGAGATCACGGTATGTTAGTTATGTTCACGGTCTTAGCGACCATGAACAAAGCCTTCGTCTGTGAACCTTGGGCTTGGGCTATATAAGGACATGGACCCTTCTTCTTCACTTCACGCCACCTCCCTTGCCGGAATTCTCTGAAACTCGTCGGAAAATCACGCCCTCTTGCTGTTTTTTGTCAATCTTGACGACTGCCTTTCACCCAAATCAAAATCCAATCACATACCCAAGAATCCCCATGCCCAGGCGCACCTTCACCAAAGTTTTGAGGCGATTTGGCTCGAATTTTTTCCAGGGTGGGTGATTTCCGTTGAGACTCCGACGAGCTCAATCGGGCTATTTTCAGCCGATTTTTACACCCTCGTCATCTCCTCACCTTCCTCTTCGACCTAACTTGCATATCCATGTCTGTTTCAAACCTTTTCTTTATCATTTTTGGAGAATTGGGTTAGAGTTCTTAGGTGAGCGATGAAATCGGGCGAGGGGAATGTCCAATTAGGATGATTGAATATTGCATGAAGTGTTTTTCAAGTTAATTGAGCCTTGGTGGGAAACTTTTCGCATGATTTGTGGTTTGAATTGAGAATTCCCACCAAGTGCAGTATAAGAAAAAAATGACTTGCTACACTTGTGTGAATGATGGTTGGAAGCCATCGAGGAATGCTTTGGGTTCGATATCTTTATTTGGAAGAACTAGGAATCACCTAGATGTTTCCACGTATGGTGCATGCCTTTGATATTTTGCAGGATGATTGATGCGAGTCATGAGTACATTCATCACCTGGTGAACCATGAGAAGTACGGGACCATGCTCGAGCAATGGAGGTACAGCGAGGCAGGACCACTGGGTGTTGGACTTGGAGATGTTCACCAGGTTCAGGTGCCAAGCAGTGATGTCTGGGGTTCTCATTCATCCCCAGTGGCGAAACCCCTAGCAATTGACGAGCTCTGTGTGGAGTTCTACTCAACCTTCTCCCATGTGATCACGTCGAGCAAGCACAACCGACCATACGTGGAGTTAGTGCTGGGGGGTCAGCATCATGGGCTGACCTATGATGGGTTCTCCTAGGATATGAGGCTCGACCCCACTCACATGATCATGACAAAGAGGTAGTACACAGCTGGATTCCATTACGATGCAGCCTTCTATGCCATCTGCCTTCTGGCGCACCAAAGCAAGGACTTTAAGGGCTCCAACACCAATGCAGTGAAGCTCCGGACGCCTTGGAGGATCTTGCATACACTGCTCACAAAGTCGATCATCCCAGTGTGCGGTAGGGGCACATAATCACCAACAGAGGGTTGATAGCCCTCCATACCTTGAGAGCCGCCTAGCAGAGCCACTCCATCTGGATCATTGGTCGCTACCATATTCTCCAGATGGCTCGGTCGTGATTGAGTGGACACGATGCACTTGGGCGGCATCATCACGAGGGTGGCCTGATATTTCGGGGTTGATATGATGAGATGCTCCATCATCGGTCGGACCAGGCCATTACCCGAGGAGACGCTTTACAACATGAAGCTGGTGCTCAAGGGAGAGCTAGGGATTGAGTACCTCGAGGGAATTTGACCATCGGCCGCTCTAGGGCCACATATCGACCCTACTCTAGTGGAGCCTAATCTAGAGGCCCCTTCACTAGAGCAGCCGATTACTCGAGCTCTAGATTGCCATCGTCGTGTCGCACCATCACCACCACCATGATCATCATCATCCGGAGTTGGTTCCTCATTCGGAGTCTAGTTGGTGGACCGAGTCACACACCTTGAGGATCAGGTCACGGGGTTTAACACCAGCCTGGATCACTCCGCTGACCTTCTCGTGCGTATTGCCTGCAAGTAGGGTGTCTTGCCAAATGACGAGGAGGAGGACCAATCTGGGACCAGCGAGAGGTAGTCGACCGAGTGAGTCATGTGTTAGAGCCGATTTCTTTCGCCCCACTTCTCCACTTGAAACTCTGAACTCTGTTATTTTTCTTTTCTTTTGTGTGTGAACTAGTGATTTTGTGAGCTTTTCTTCCTTTTTATCGTGATGTGGAATATTGTTATGTGTAATAACCTCGCCTCGATCGAGAATGTGCTTATGTTTTGTGTGTTTACTCCTCCCCAATGATTTGTTGCCATCCCTAAATTTATGAGGTATTTTCATAAATATTGATTGTGTTTGTGCATTTCAATGTCTAATGCTATTTTAACCTAGGTCGAGGGGAATCTCATTTGAGTAGAGGCTTGTAAAAGCTGGATTTCCTTGGTAAATCTTTGTCTCCTACTTAAGTTAAATTAGGGCAAACCTCTTAATTCGTATTAACATCTAGGGTAGGTTGTAATTTGGTCGTCCAAACTCCGATTTCGAGGGTGAAGTCTAGGAAACTTGGTTGATAGGTCAAGAGAGCTACTTTGGTAGCTTGAATTGGAATCCCTTGGCCTATTGACCGAGAGAGTGGCGTTTGTTCACTAGTTGCACTTCCCAACGGTTTACAATCGCTTTTCCCACACCAATGAATTCTATCCAACAAGTCATTATTGTTAGCTAGTGGTAGCAACACCTGGGTGAAGCCTTCTCAATTAGTGTCCAATCCAATTACTTTTCCAAATGTTTCAAATAATTGAAGTAGGCGTACATGGTCCGGCCCTGGTTGATATTTAAATATACTTGCCCTATATTGCACCTGGTTAAGGTTTATATTTGGGCCTTAATTGGGATTTTTATTGTGATATTCGGGACGAGTCGGAAAGAAACCCTAGATTTCTTCTCCTCTCTTGTTCGCACTCTATTTCTAAAATCTGAGAAAGAAGATGCAATTCTCTCACTAGGCTACCCCCATCTCCTTCATCTCCCTTCTCCTTAAATACCAAGATCGCAAGAGTTTCATGGCTCCAGTTCACGGCCGTGAACTTGAACCTTGGACCGTGATCTCAAACAAAAACATGTTGTATAATTTAACGTCTTCACGTTCGGGGCGGAGTATCATGATCGAGTGATCGTGATGTCGTTTAGGCCTGTGAGACACAAAATCTTCTTTAGTTTCCTTGCTCTTCATGAAAAACTGACTTCCACCGTGATATCGCCTTTTTGCTTTATTCTCTCCATTTTTGCCCCCTTTCGTCCAACTGTCATTCCCAAGGCTAATTCCACCTGCTAGGATCTGAAACATACTAGAAACAAGCACAATCTAGCGTAAAATCGAATCTCGCAGAGTGAAAATGCCTCAAACACCTCAAGAATATGGGGAGAAAACATGTGCAATTGGACCGGAATCAATAAATATTTCGTTTTGATGACTTTTTTTATTCTAAACGGTTGACCGCGATTAGTATGATTTATAAATGGTGAGGCACACTTGTCATATTTAAAAATTCGGGGGGGGGGGGGGGGAGGGGGGTGCACGTGCATGTGGGGCTGCTAATATATTGTGCGTCATGCGCCTCACCAAAAGTACAAAAAAGCATACCACAAAACGCAGACTAGAAACACAACAAACAACACCACAAATAACATAAAGTAGAACATAAAGCTTATAAAGCATACCAGAACTTCACTACACCATATAATTCATAGAGCATACTAGAAAACTCAAAATAGACAACAAGTTTCTTAAAGCTGACGAAAGACCTCATAAAGTATACCACAAGTTTTCTAAAGGAAACTAGAAACCTTATAAAGCATACCACAAGTTCCATGAAGCAAGTTCCCTAAAGTATAACTGAAACCTCATAAAGCAGACCACAAGTTTTCTAAAACATATCTGAAATCTCATAAAGCATACCAGAAATATGTGCAACCACATTATTAGAACTCTCATAAAACATATTAGAAAGAAGAGAAAGCACACCAGAAATCTCACCATGCAAACTAGAAACATTGTAAAGGATGACAAGTAAAACAAAAAATTGGAATTATGAAATAATTTGTATTTTACACGTAAGCTGTTGGGTTATTTTTTGCACAGTATTAAGTACAGAAGCGAGAGGTATGATGCGGGGGCAGAAAAAAATTGCACAGAGGAAGGGGTGGGTATGTATAATGTACAATAGTTATCACAATACCCTTATAATTATCTTAGCAAGTTACTGAGATTAAGAAGTGTTAGCACACTATTCGGTCGCCTCTAACTAGATGATATGAACGTAAGATATTTTGATAAATTTCGACCAGTAGGAATTATTTTATTATTGTTCATTTAATCATTATCTAATTATCAAAAAGTAAATCCTTATTATCCTTATAAAAAATATTAAAATCATAGATTATTCTATTTAATTGAGGTTATATCTTCCGTACCCATACACCAATTACGATAGTAATATTAGCATATTCAAGCTGGATATCGAAAAGGCGTTCGACTCGGTTAACTGGAATTGTCTTTTCAATGCCCTGTCCAACTTTGGACTTGGCCAACGATTCTGTAAGTGGATTAGAGGGGTTGTTTGCCATTCAAAGCTTTCGCTTCTCGTTAGTAGAGAAGCGGGGGGGTTTCTTTATTATGTAGAGAGGTTTGAAGCAAGGAGACTCTATTTCTCCTTTCCTGTTCAGTCTAGTTATGAATCTTTTCTCATTCACCCTTCAAATTTCTCGTGAATCTGGTCTCATTTAGGGATTTTGCTTAGATGACTCGAACAGAGGTGATGGCGTGAATCATCTCCTCTCTGCCGACAATGCTATCGTATTTTGCGATGCAACGGAGGAAGCCGCTATCTACCTCGCTGCTGCCCTTATTTGGTTTCAAAGTGTGACTGGACTTAAGGTGTAGTTCCGGAAAAGTTTCCTCTTTCATTAGGAGATGTTGATAACATCGATCGACTTGCGGAGATTTTGGGTTGTGAGTGGAAGTTTCTGTACACAGAGTACTTAGGTGTACCTCTTTGATCTGCACCGTCCTCTAATACTGTTTGGAACAAAATCGTTGATAAAGTGGAGGGACGGTTGGCGGAGTGGAAGGGGAAATATCATTCCATGGGGGAAGGATCGTTCTCTGCAACTCTGTGCTAGCTGCTCAGACTAACTACATGTTCAGCTTGTTCAAAGCCCCTACGTCTGTTATTAATAAACTTGAACAGATCCTTAGGACATTTATCTGGTCTAGTGTGGGCGAGAATAAGAAGATCCATCTTGTTACTTGGGATAAATGCAAATTTCCTAGAAAATTGGGCGGTCTAGGCATCACGGACCTGAGACTTAGAAATCAGGCTTTGCTTCTTAAATGGTGGAGGAGGTTCGCGGTGGAAAGGAATCCGTGGTGGCGGGAGATGATTGCCCAAAAGTTTCTTAATCCTCAATCACAGTGGTCTACTGGTTCCCTTAGGAGGCGCATTGGTTGTAGCCCTTGGGCTGTTATCTCGAAGCTTGGATCTGATTTCTGGAAATTTCCTCACATCGAACCGGGGTCGGGTTATGACACGTCCTTTTGGTTTGATATTTGGATCAAAGATTGCTCCCGCCCCTTGGCCTTGGAGTTCCCTTGAGTTGCCGCCGTTGAAGCTACACTAAACTGCCGCATTGCTGACCTGTGGAGAATTAATGGGGGAAGTCTTTCTTGGATTCTTTCCATTTCTCATAATCTTAGGGGAGGAGCTGTGGGTGAGAGAGTTAGTTTGTTAAACCTAATTAATAATATTTCTATATCAAGCTTTACTGCAGGTCCTTCAAGAATTGCGTGGGACCTAACTTAGGATGGAGGGTATAGAAATCACTCTTACTATACTGAGCCGGTCAAGGAGAATGATCTTGCGGATCTGGAGTTCCGTTTCAAGACCGTTTGGCTTTCTGTCATCCCTCTTAAAGTTTGCGCCTTCATTTGGATTGTTTATTATCGTAGAATCCTTACTCAAGAGGTGCTGAAGAAAAGAGGCTGGTCTTTCCCCAATCGATGCGTCTTGTGCGGAAGCAGCGAAGAAACCTTGGACCATCTTTTCCTCACCTGTATTTTTAGTCGTGAAGTTTGGACCATGATGAAGGTTTTTGTTAAGATCAACACTCCCACCCAGGACATTTTGACGGTGATCAAGCTGTGGTCGTGCAATTCGTCTCAAAGCGCTGCGGAGTGGTGTACCAGAGTCTTTTTACATGCCTTCTACTGGCGAATCTGCTTGAACGCAACTTCAGAATCTTCCGGGACCTGTCTGCTTCGCCTCGCGTAGTCTCTTTCGCGATTTCTAGGTGCATATAAGAATGGCTTTGTGCGGGCAGCAAAGTTGAGAGAAGTGCCTCTGATTTGTGGCTTCGGAATGTCAAGGCTCGACTGCTCCCAAGGCCCAGCACGATTGCGCTGCAGGAATAATCTCCCAATCTCTTTGTTTGCGTGGTCGTTCTTGCTAATGATGTTGTTTCTCACCATTGTTTCTCCCTCGCTACTGGATGTCGTCGTTCGGCTTGCTCGTTGTAGGGGGGTCTTGTCGGGTTGTCTTTGCTTGGCTTCATTGTGCTCTATTGATGTTTGGTTGTTGGACTCTGCTGGCTTTGATACTTGGCACCTCTTCCCCTTGCATCCGATGCCTTGGCAGAAGCTGGTGTCAGCTGTGTTTGTTTGGGTTTTCGATCATCCGATTGTTCGCCCGATCGATTGCCTGCTTTCGTCTCTTTGGCGTGTTTTGAGCTTTTGTTTTCGCTCTTGGTTTGGTTGAGGTCGGGCCTCGCTTGTGAGTCCTTCTTTCTACTTTCCTTTCTCTCTTTGTTGTTTTCCCCTTGTAATATTGACTGCTTAATTTAATCTATGTGTGCAGCTTCATAGACTAAAGTCATGATCCATCTTAGTTTATTAAATCCTAGAAAGTCATCATATGTATGGTCCCGGTAATCAATTCGTCTTGGTCGGTTATTATTACCAAGGGCGGAACTTGCTATCTAGCTTGCTACTAGATTGAATTCTGCTGAGTTCGTTTTCTGCTTGAATTAGTATATGACCGATGGATTTTTAGTCCTTTTCTGCTGTGGCCATTAACTAACGAGCTTTATGGGGTTTCTTCAACGTTTACTATTACGCCATCTACAACGTGAATCTTGTTACTTTTGACTCCAATCATTGTTCACTAGCTGAAAATATTATTCAAGTTGGATATGTTTTGTTCAGCTATGGAAAGAAAGAATTAGTCACTCGCTCGATTGTTTTCCTTCTTGTCTTGTCACTCCATCTTCTTAGTACTATCATGTCCATATATATATGCTATACATACATGTGTCCTCATCATCCTCAACATGGAGACATCGAACCTGTTAAGCACATGTCACATTCATGTGTGTTTTATGATTGGGTAGATGGAATTAATTAAGCTACCCCTTGATTTTAATGATATCAAGTAACCTGCTCAAGGAATGCGTTTTTTTTGTTGCTACTGCTACTTGTAAGTCATTTGTTTATACTTTTTATAGGTTGGTATCATGTTTTGTGATCTGCCATTGAGGTTTGATTCTTTTTATGGTGGTGGATATTTTATGTTAATTGTTTTTTATAAAATTTTATTTGATATGGATATATATAGCTTTAAATTTCACGTATAATTGTGGAAATTGCTTGTTTGAATGAGAAGGAAAATCTCTAAAGATAACTAAAGGAGAAAAAGTGGGATTTTTTTTCCCAAACAACCATCAAAATTCCAAACCTACCACCATTAATCATAAACGGCGCCTCGAAGGCGCGGTTCTCATTCAAACCGCGTGGGCAAGAGGCGGTTTACCATTGGGAACCTGCAAAACCGCACCTCCACGTGGCGGTCCATGCAACCGTGCGATGGGCAGGAGATCTGACGGCTAATCGCCTGCCAGCGGAACGATCCGCGTCGCCCAGTTATAACCGTTGCCCGAGAACGCGGTTTGCGCGTCTGGAAAAGGAAACGGTGTGCTGGAGGAGCGGTTTTTGGTGGGGTAAAAATATCAAACTGCCCCTACACCATGCGGTCCTCCACCTATACATACCCACCCCCTTCCTATCATTTTCTTCACACCAAAACCAATCTCCTCTCTCTCTCTCTCTCTAAGTTTATCACTCTACCCATCCCCCTCTCCACCCAAAAACCTTGGAAGTAGTGGTTTGTTGGTTGCGGCTAAGTCCGATCTATTTTCAAAAAAACTTTTCTTTGGTTTTCATTAAAAAAATGTCGAATCTCTGTCCGAATCCTTAAAAAATGGTCAATTTTGTCGAAAAAGAGGGGTATTTACTATGATGACTATCAAGCGGTGAGTACTCATTTTACCTAATTGTTGTTGTTGTTGTAATGATTTTATTTAATTTATATACTAATTGATTTATGTTGTTGTTATGCTATCGTAGGTTAGGGCGGGTGCTGATATATACAATCAACGATATTATGTTGATCAAGGACCGATTGATCAGACAGTTTTATACGAACAAGATAATCATCGTTCAAGGGACGTTTGGAACGATGACAACGATGTAATTGCACATGTCTGCACCCCTAGTTCTCATCCGGTTGCGGCAAGTAGTCATGTATTTTTGGCCTGTTTTACGCCGGGTTGTTCTACTTTGTCATATTTCAGGTCCCAGACGTCGAAGGAAAGGCTAAGCACGAGTTTCGAGGCATTTGGAAGTCATTCGGTCGAGCTGGGGCCAAAGCACGGGCTGGCCTGAACCAAAACACGGCCGTGTACACAAAGACGCACGCCAGTGTTTTTATTGCCGAGAGCTGAACTGATGGAAAAGCAAAACACGGGCTTGCCTAAATCAAAACACGGCCGTTTCCATATTTAGGCACGACCGTGTTTTGGCCGATGCATGCGTTTTTTTAACATGGGGCAAAACACGGGCGGGCAAAACCAAAGCATGGTCGTGCCCTCGGCCGTGTTTTGCCCAGGGTCGGCATTTTAGGCAGATTTGAGCCAAAGGAGAAGGGGTTCCGAGTTTTAGAGAGACAGAGCGATTCCTAGAGAGAGAAAGCGACGAACCAGAGTTCCCAAGTCCCCTAGATTGATCTTCATCACCATTGGAGCCCGGCTTGAGCTTGGAGAAGTGCCGATTGACGACCAGGAGCAGAAACCCATTCTTCACAGTATGGTTTCCGCATCTGAATTTGCTTTTGTTTCTCTCTCCATGGAGTAGTTTGCCCATTCATCTGGGTATGGAGAACCCTAGATTTGTATGTTAGGTCTTGCTTGTTTGAACTTGCACTAAAGTTTCACCGCTAGATAATAAGAACTCGCTGAGTAGTCATCACATCTAGGACCCGGGTTGACATTAAAACCCAAACCCGCTATACTACGCTTTAGGAAGTGGTTACACTTGGCCATTTTCTAGAGTGACAGTAGGAGTGAGTCAAGTTTTTGGCGCCGTTGCCGAGGACGGCTAGGTTGTTTAAGAAATGTGAATTATGTTAATTTAGCTTTTCTTTTCGCATTGTTTGCTTTGTCCCACTTGTGCCTTCACGGGTTTGCTGCTTGACTGTGTGCAGATAGTGCATGACCCGTAGCCAGTCAGGAGGTTTACTGTTGTTGGATCTAGAGCTTGAACGCACCTGTCGTCAAATTAGGAGGTTTACTGTTGTTGGATCCGGAGCTTGAACGCACCTGGCTACGGCGGAGCGCATAGACGGCCACTTGAGTAGCGATTCTGAGGAAGAGCACGAGGTGGAAGGAGATCACAATCCTCACCAGGTTCCCCCGGTGAATAAGATCTTGGGGGAACAACCCCATACCCAAGGCAGATGGGGTTCATCATCATCCACTGCCGCCAGGTCCCACCTTGGAGTACTACTACACTCCACGGATTGCTGACATCCGCCATGTCATCCTCTATCCGCCCATTTCATCGAACAACTTTGAGATCAAGCCATGCTGGATTCATTTCATTACATCCTCTATCCAGTTCCATGGCTTGAAGGATGAGGAGGCGAGGGTGCATCTTTCCCGTTTTCTACAGCTGACGAACGAGTTCAAGCTAAACGGTGTCCCTGATGACGAAATTCGCCTTCACCTCTTCCCCCATTCTCTGGCGGGAAATGCTAAGAGGTTGTTGGAGACCCAGCCCCCATTGTCCATCACTTCTTGGGACGATCTGGCCAATAAGTTCGTGCATAGGTACTATCCGGCATCGAAGACCATAGAGATCCAGCGGGAGATCACTCACTTCCGCCAAGAGCCAGACGAATCACTTCGTGATGCATGGGAGCGGTACATGGGATTGTTATGGCAGTGTCCCCATCATGGCTTCAGTGATGCATTCACTGTGGGGAACTTCTACAATGCTCTCTCTCCGGACAGCCAGAGGGTGATTGAGTCTCTATGCTTAGGAGGGGATATTCTTACTAAGACCCCACCTAAACTGAACCAGATGATCAGTACACTGGCTGCCAGAGATCATTCCTAGGGGCAGGGCACTAGAGGCAGGAATTCCAGGGACCGTGGTGTGCATGCCATGGAGGCCAGGTCCGGGCTCGAGCAGCAGGTGGCCGAGTTGGTGCAGACATTGAAGCAGCCCAACAGTCTTATTCCCGGTAGAGGTTTAGCTACACCTCCAGCAGCTCAATGTCTGTGGTGTGAGAGCTCAAATCATCTGGTTGAAGACTGCCAGGCTATGCGGGAGTCAACTACTCTCCAAGAGCAGTTGGACTTCATCGCCAATGCTTGGCGCTTTGACCCCTACAACAATACATATAATGAGGGGTGGCGCCAACATCCCAACTTTGCTTGGAATAGCAACACCACTAAGCCACCTGGTTTCCCAGCACCATCAGGTGGTTTTTAGCAGAGGTAGCCTTTCCAGGCTAGACAGGGGTTAGTCCCTCAGCAGCAGCCTCAGCGTCAGTATGCTAAGCCAGCAGCAGCCCCGGCTCTAGATAATCAGATGACGGAGCTGAAAAACATTATAGCGGCATTCATGACTACCACCCAGGCAACTTTCACGAGGATGGACCAGAGCATAGCCTCACTGGAGGTAGGCCAGAGGAACCAAGTGCCGTTTTGCAAGATTAACAGAACCAGATAGGTAGCATGGCTCGCCAAATTAATACCCGAGCCCCGGGAACTCTACCTGCCACTACCATCCCCAATCCACGGGAGCCTCACCAGCAGCTGAATGCCATCACCACCAGGAGTGCAAGTCCACATCGGCGGTACCTGCCCAGGCTAGGAAGAAAGAGCCACTGCCTGCTTCAGCCCCTCCAGCCGATGATGTAGAAGTGAGGGTGGAGAAGGAAGCCCCTGCTCCCAAGCCACAACCAGTGGTTAAGGAGCATGTACCCCAGCTTCCCTTCCCCACTCGACTATATAAAGATAAGCTGGAGACTGAGTTTGCCAAGTTCATGGCAATGTTGAAGCAGCTCGATGTCAGCATACCCTTCATGAAGGCACTGTCGAAGATGCCCAAGTACGCCAAGTTCATGAAGGATCTCCTAAGCAACAAGAAGAAACTTGGGGATCTTTCGACAGTGATGCTGAGCGAGGAGTGTTCTGCCATCTTGCAGAACGAGCTGCCCGAAAAGCGCAAGGACCCAGGGAGTTTCACTATGCCTCTTAATATTTGCAGCATGCATGTAGGGAAGTCCTTGGCGGACCTAGGCACTAGCATAAATGTCATGCCATACAATCTATTTAAAAAGCTAGACCTAGGTGAACTTAGCCCTGCTAAGATGAGCA